GGAGGTACAGTAGCCAGTCGTATTGAAATTATTATTCAAGTGCAGTATATCTACTGTCCTCTGCACTTGAACGCACGCAGAGTAAATGTGCGCAGCTTTACGCTCAGTGTGATGGTCAGACAGCGACATACTGGTGGAAGTAGTCTGCAGTGCCTTTCATGTTCCTTGATTCGTGTTTGGGCACTGCGTTTGGTGTCCCTATGTAGACTTGTCCAAGCTGCATGGTATACGGTAGACTCCTGCAGAGGTGAGAGGATCCCTCTTGTCCTTTGCTGAATGTAGCATTTGTTGGATTTTCTTGGTGGGTCTGTAGATAGTTTGTATGTTGTGTTCCTCATCAGCTTCCCTATGCGGTCAGTGGTTCCCTTGATGTATGGCAAGAACACTTTTCCTCTGGGTGGATCTTTGTCTTTACTCTCGTGGCTTGTTCTTGGTCTTGCAGCTCTTCTGATGTCTGAGGTGGAGTATCCATTGGCCTGTAGAGCACAGTTGGTGGTTCAGTTCATCTTGGAGGAGGTGGGGTTTGCAGATTCTTTTTGCATGGTCTGCCAAGGCTTTAATGGTGCTTCTTTTTTGACTTGGGTGATGGTTGGAGTTTTTATGTAGATATCTATCTGTGTGTGGGTTTTCTGTAAACGGTGTGACCCAATTGTTGATCTGGTTTGCGGATGACTAGGACATCTAGAAAAGGCAGTCTTCCTTCATTTTCTTTTTCCATGGTGAACTGGATGTTTGGGTGGATGCTGTTAAGATGGTCCAGGAACCTGTTGAGTTCTTCTTCTCCATGGCTCCAAATGGTGAAGGTGTCATCCACATATCTGAACCATATCGTGGGCTTTTTGGTTGCTGTTTCAAGAGCTTGTTTTTCAAAGTGTTCCATGTAGAAGTTAGCTATGACCGGGCTGAGAGGGCTCCCCATAGCTACTCCATCTTTCTGTTCATAGAATTCATTGTCCCACTGAAAGTAGCTGGTGGTGAGGCAATGGTGAAACAGAGCTGTGATGTCTTCTGGGAAACTCTGGTTGATGAGTGCCATGGTGTCTGCAACTGGGACCATGGTAAATAGAGACACCACATCGAAGCTGATCAGTTTGTCATTTGTATTTAGCTTGAGATTGCTGATTTTTTCAATGAAGTGGGCTGAGTCCTTGATGTAGTGTGTTGTGATGTAGTGTGTTGTGAAAAAATCAGCAATCTCCTCCTTCAGTGTTAAAGGATAAAAAATGGGGGTTGGCAGAGTGGCATCCCTAAATATGAGGCTCGTATCTCAACTGTCTTGAACTGCTAGAATACCAACTTGTCAAGTAGGTAGAATCAAACATATCACTTGCAAGCGCACAACACTTCTGTACTTGGAAGTTTTTTTTGGGGGGGGGGGTGGTTGAAGAGAGAAGCAAAGAATTGTTGTGGGACTGTACAACTCCATCAAATGGAATAAAGTACCTCTTCTCTCTTACCTTCCGAGCCCCAACTTTCAGCCCCAACCATTCTCTTTCAACACAGCTCACTGGTAAGAGGCTCAGGAAGGCATTGGCAATAAGGACATCACTGAACAATCCTTGGCACCTCCTTCCATTACACATCATCAGAGGATCTTCCCATTTTGGATGTGCCATGTCAATGGATAAGCATTCCTTGCTTGCCTGATGCCAGCTCCCTTTGCTCAGGTCACCGTTTTGTTGGGGATCCAAGACTTGAAATCACATCTAAGTGTGTCTGAGGCTTAAAACAGCTTGCTTGTCAGCTGGTTTGGCACAGACCACAGGTTGGGAACCACTGGCATACATTTTATATATATTGTTTAAGGATAATTTTGTGCATGAAACAACGTTTGCATATACTGAACCATCAGAAAGCAAAGGTGTCCGTATCCAGTTTTGGATTTTGGGAGGATTTTGGGGTTCTAGATAAGGGATATGCCAGGCTTTGAAGCTGCAAGGCCATTCAGCGTTAATCAAGGTGGCCAATTGCAAGATTTTCACTTGCCTCAAGCAGACAAGAGTTCTTTCTCCCACCCTGGACATTTCATATACACCTCATTTGCCTAGTTTCCAACAAACCTCACAACCTCTGAGGATGCCTGCCATAGACATGGGTGAAACATCAGGAGAGAATGCCTCTGGAACATGGCCATACAGCCTGGAAAACTCACAGCAACCCAGTGATTCCGGCCATGAAAGCCTTCAACAAACAAGGGATGCTCTGCTTGTATGACTTTTTGGAATATAATTCAATTAAATTCCCCAACAACATGATTAAAAGACTATGGGAATATTGCACTATATGTTTAAAACAGAGGAAAGGGAACCTTGTTTTAAACAAAACTGTAGTCCAGGATTACACTATACTCTAACTTGTTTGTGTTTGTTGGAAGATATTTTACTAAGAGAATATAAAGTCTGGTGATATTGCAATGTGGTGTTAGGCAATCTTCAATTAACTGAAATCAGTTTTTGAATCGGGCTGATTGATACAGCAGCTACAGTTTAGTGAAGTCTATGACAGCATTTAAAAAACCCCAATAAATGACAAAATGGAAAGTGCTAAAATGCTAGTGCTCAATTTGGAAATGCTGGGATTAGTTTCAGGGATGGAGCACTGAAATGACAAAGAAAGGACATTGTCCCTCCACATAAGAATACTACACCTCCAAAATGAAATGTTCCTTCAATCCCCACATTTCAAGCATTGCAGAGATTTAAATACTGAAAATAATTCATGCCCAGAACTCTTCTATTTGTTCTGCCTTCATTCCCTGGATAACTATGACTTCCTCCTTGCTTTGAGTGTGTATGCTATATTTTAAAATGCTCAAGTGGCATTTTAAATTAACACAATGCTAGAAGTCTGGAGATTAAAGGAACATTCCATTTGGAAAAGCACTGTTCTTATGCGTGGGCCAATTCTCTTCTCCCCCTCCCACAATATATTCCAGATCAGATTCCTTTTTGCCTCAATATTTTTGCATATTAATGAGTGCTATACTTCTTTTTAAAAGACCACACTTTTTCTCATTGTGTTGATCAATCCACATTTCTTTTTCCCATGACAAGAAGCAAAACATTAAGTAAACATCACCTCACTTTTTTCTCCTGCTCAGTCTGACTAAACACAAACATATTTTATGCAAGGACATATACATAATGTGCCCTTCACCCATAAATACAGGAGTTATCTTAAATCAATAACACTCTTTCTAAAGGCATATGAACTCTGTGGGGGAATTCACACTCTTTTTCAAAGTTATGTTCAAGTAACAAGGGATGACACACTTTGGACACAGTCAAGTGCCATTGTTTCCTGCCTCAATGTCAATGAATAGGTGGTACACAGCACACTCTATTCGACCCACTGTCATGGAGGTCATGCAAAACTTGTTCCCAGTGGTCACTGTTTATGTATTAACTTTGCTGCCTTCATAAATATGCCTGCACTGGAAATTTAAGTCAGTTTCATATCTATTCCATTACCATGTTCCTGAACTAAAAAAGCAAGTGAAATGTCATTTTGTGTACACTGCAGTGAAACACTCTCGGCGCTAACCTTAAAGTATAAAGTTCAGAATACATCATGTTTTGTGGGAAGCATAGAGCAGTGTGTGTTAGACTCCTCCTAGATCAGTGTTTCTCAACTTTCCTAATGCCGTGACACCTTAATATAGTTTTTCATGTTGCGGTGACCCCAACTATAAAATTATTGTTGTTGCAACTTCATAACTGTAATTTTGCTACTGTTATGAATCATCATGTCAATATCAGATACGCAAGATGTATTTTCATTCACTGGACCATATTTGGCACAAATACCCAATACACCCAAATCTGAATACTGGTGGGGTTGGGGGGAGGACTGATTTTGTCATTAGGGAGTTTTCGTTGCTGGCTATTACAGTTAACTTACAATCAAAGAACATTCTGAACCTCACCAACGGGTGCTTTCCCCCCGCCTTGAAGATACTTGCTGGCGCGAGCCTCCCGTATCTTAGCATGCTCTCCATCGCCCACACATGTGCACCACGCTGCAATGCACCAGGCACACCTGCTCTCACCTTCCTACTTGGAGTCTCAGAAACAGCCCTCCCCTTGGCTGAGAGGCCGGCCAATCACAGCAGGAGGGCTTTTGGTGGGAGGATTCACCATCTGTTTCCAAAAAAGGACAGGCAGAGAGATCTTCATCTTTCTCTGCCAAAGGGGTTCCTAAGACCATCAGAAATATGTGTTTTCTGATCATCTTTGGCGACCCCTCTGAAACCCCCAGGTTGAGAAACACTGTTCTAGATCAAGGCGTCTTACACTTTTTCCACTCATGACCCATTTTGGCCCAAGAATTTTTTTCATGAGCCCAGTATAGGTATATAAAATAGATGTACAAACGAGCATTTGCAAGGCTTGCGAAACAGACTGATTTTGCTTTTTGTGAAATGCTGCCTGTTGTTGGTAATAGATTTGTGTAAATGGGTGGCATTCAGAAACCTTGTACTGCAGCCAATTTTTTCACCACCAGTTGATCCATGGAGTGCCACACTGGTCATCACATGACATATGCTCACTTCCAGCGAAGCTCTGTCAATCAACTTGGGCTCCAGTATCCTACAACGCTGTGCCCAGAACACAGGTGGCTTCCTATGTTCTGTTAGGAACAAGGGTGAGATGCAGGAGGAAGCCACATGGCGACGCTTTCCCACGCGTGATGGAGAAGCGGCTCTGCGGGCGAGGCAGGGCATCGGAATTGTTCCACTGTCCCGCAAATCGCCCTGCACAACCTCATCAATGTGATGAGATCCAAGCTACAGTAATCATGTTGACCTGTGGATAAGTTTATCTAGGCTCTGGATTGATTTTCTAGATTTATACATGAGTATATGGGACAATTTCACTCTGGTTCATGTTTGTAATGTGGACTGTGCCTAAAAACTGTGATGTTTCCCTTATATGTCTGAAAACAATTTCCAGTTAGAAAATTTCCCATTACATTAGCACCCCATAAGTATGTTTCATTTTTTAAATAGTAGCATTATAAATACTATAGAGATTATACTAAACTATTTCTATTCACATATTTGTAAAAAGAATATATATATTATTTGTTTTAATAAAGTGAATTGACATTGGGGGGAAATGAGTCAGGAGGGTGAAACAGAGTCACAGTTGACACATGGGCACTGGCCCAATGCTTCAATCGGGAAGTGTTCTTTTCAAGCTGTGTCTGAAGAAGAGTCATAAGAGGCTGTTACTATGAAGTTGCCAGAGCTGGAATGGCTCGCCATTGACTGAGCTGCCTGCTGGCTTAGGTTGTTGCAGATCAGTACCAACTGGTTGCTTTGAGCTTCAGAAAGTGTGCTACAACTCTGGTACACACTGAAGTTGGTCTTCCTACCAGGGATGTTGCCCTTTTCACACATAGTCTTGACCATCTTGGCCAACTTGTTCTTACCAAGGGCTTGACAATTGTACCAGTGAAGGGCAGCTAGATTCACCACCGGCTTAATGGACAAGTAGAATGGGGCATCCTCATACCGCATGGCAGGGGGGCGTCTCTGCGCATACTCCTTATAGTCTTGGACAGGGCAGGTCTGTGGGGCATGATGTGTGGCATACACCCTGGAGTCGGTGCCCGCTCTCTTGGTTTTGGAACTCCCATCTCCACAGTCTTGACCCATCCATTCCAAATATTCCAATCCAGTCTCTGTCACCCGAAGCCGTATGTCCCCCCATTTGAGGGTCGACCCATGGAAGCCTGTACAATGGCCAAACGCCTTGGTGTTATTAAGCCAAACAAGGTTTAGCAGCCCTTCGGGGTTGTATCGGCTCAGCAGGCCTCTTTTGCGTAGGATAAGCTCATCCGCAAAGGTAAGTTTCATCGACTTGTGTGGCTTGTTGCCTTTCCCTTTGCATCTCAGTTCCATCTGTTTCTGCTTAAGTGCTTCTTGAGACCTCTTGAATTCCTTGTCCCTGGTAATACTGTATCCATATCTGTGCTCCTTGAGATACCTTTCCAGCCCGCATTGGTAGTTGGCCAAACTATTTGGCTCATATTCTGAACCGTCCTTCTGTCGGGCATCAACAAAGAATGATGCTAGGTACGCATCCAGCTCTTTACAAGGAATTACGTAGATCTCCCGGGTTTCTGAAGGATACTTAGCAATGAGGAACTCCCTGAAGTTGCGGAGTGCTGTCTGGGTACTGCGAATAGTTTTTTCATTTTGCTCTCTGCTCAGTTCTGCCGCTCGCTCATCTTGGTCTGGGACAGGCAAAAGAAGAGATGAGAAAGAATCAGTTTATGAGATTTTTTTTTCCCAAACGGAAATTTTCCTTTAAAAAAAAGAAAAGAAATTAATGTTCGCAAAGATCACAAAGGTATTGTTTTTACATACCTGCCAAGTCTGAACAGCCAACTTCAGTTTCACAAATGATGTTATTATGGATATGAAAAACAAGGAAATATATGTTCTTCAGGGCACTGGCACACATTTTAGCACATGGAGATTTGTACAGGGGGAAATCTGAGATTTGAGGTGTTCTGTATTTTGGGAAAAGGCAGAAAATAAAAATATTGACTCCACTGTTGTGTGCAGAGGCCTGATTAAGAAAAGTAGCACCATTATGAACCATTTCATTTGTGAAACCAGAGGCTGTGCTGGTTCCAATTAAAAGTACAAAAAAACAAAGCCACATTTAATACACCAAAATGCTTTTAATAAAACGTGTCTTTCAACATGGTAAATAAGTTGCCTGTTTGGATATAATACACACCAGCGTGTTCCAAATTACAAAGCAAAATGTTTCAAATAGCTACAGAGCTTTGCACAGTTTGCTACCATTAACAAAAAAGCTGACAATTCTCTAGGAACACAGTTGGGTGGCACTACAAAATACAGGGTGCCTGAAAATTTCCAAATGTCAACTCAAAATACATAGAAAAATGTATGTGTATCACTGCAGTATGTGTATCACTGCAGAAAGGCTGTATATTAAAAGAAACATCATGCTCAGTGACCTAAGCAAATGGTTTATTGTGCATAGCTTTCTGCCTGTCAACAAATAATATATGCGATAGAACATATAAACAAATAAGGTGTTACCTTGAAGATTTTACATACTAGCAAAAGCATTCAGCTTTGCAGTGATTTAGAAATCAGCCCTTCCTGGCCCAACTCCTTTTCTTTCCTCACTGACCTAGGCAATCTTCTGGTCTCTTCACTCACCCACTCAGAAGTGGAGTGGGCAGATCAAAATACAACCTGGCAAAATTGCATTACCTAGAAGAATCCTCCACCTTTTGCAGAACAAACAATTCTGCATCTGTATGCTTGCCCACAATGCCCTGCCTCACGCACAGAGGAAAAATTGTTTAAAGCTACAGACAGTTGCCCATTTTTGGTCTAAAATTATTTAGCCGCTTGTGCTCCCTCTATTTTATCGGTTTTGTGTTATTTATTTATTTATTTATTTACTTCACTTGTATACCACTCTTCTTAGCCATCAGGCTACTCAGAGCGGTTAACAATGGTTTTGACGCGAAATAAATAATCTCACTCACTGACCTACACCATGATCTTTCCCCCATTGAGCAAATCCCTCTTTCATTCTCTGCTCCCAGCCAATGTTCTTCATCTCCTTCTATTCACCTGTGTGCTCACTGTCTTCCTTATCCACCCAGGTGAGTGGTTCCTAATGCTTCAACCCCTCATGTTGTGGTGACCCCCAACCATAAAATTATTTTCATTGCTACTTCACAACTATAATATTGCTACTGAATCATAATGTGTAGTAAGTGCCATCCAAAGGTGTCTTATCCTGCCATAATTGTGCTTTATCAGCCTCAAGTGTTGACATTCTAAGAAATCACCATGTGCCAATCACAGGCCTTCCTTAACTTTGCTCTAAGGGAGTCTTAGTATGTTCTTAAAGGATGTACAGTGCTTATCAACTCCCATGAAGACAACACTACAAAACAGGAAGGTCCACTGTACCAAGCTCTTCACTCTTTGCACACATTTCCCTCGTTCAAGCGATGCCAAGAGAAAGAGGGTATGTGTTTGCAATCTATGAAATGCCATGAAAACCAGAGAAAACATAATTGTGGGGATGCTTTTCTTTCTTTGTACTTAACTTTCTGCTCATTGTGAAATGCTGACAGGCATGCAATTTTCATGTCAGCCGTTTTGACAAAGCATCACCTTCAATGCGGATCGTTTTGACAAGGACTACGTGCTTTCTAAAATAAAGTTAGCCCATGCAAATTAATAACTCTCAAAGGCTGCAGGTAAACAGCTCCAGGAGATTCATTATTCTATTTTTCAATGCAAAACAGCCTCCCTGTATTATAATAGGGCATTTTATCTTCAGTTGCAGAATTACTGAATGAGTTTGCCTCTCTTTCAAACATAGAGAAGATGTTGCTGATGAATGAATTCTATTTAGGTTTGCTTTTAGACGACTTTATAATTTCTGAAATATTCATCAAAACCACTGACCAAAGGACTATATTTACTCAGAAGTCTTACTGTGCTCATTTGGTCTTGCTGTCAAAGTCATTATTTTAAGATTGCAGCCTGAATCTACTGGCATAAATTGAAATATTTATGGTCTTTTGCCCATTTAATATTTCTGCTACATACCCAGCCTTGGATCTTACTTCAAAGGATACATGTCTCCATTCCATATTATCAGGCTTCTTCTGAAAGCATTCCAGATTTCAAAATCTTCCCTTGCTATTTTTGGGAGCACTGCCTAGTTTATGTAATGTTACGTCACAATTTCATGACAGACAAGATGTACTTCTACACACGCTTAAATGAGAAAATAGCTTCATTGAACCACAATAGAGCTTACTCCCAGATAAACACGTGACTTACTTCCAAGGAACCATGCACTGAGTTGGAGCTGTGCAGAAGGATTGTGCTACACAGCTATAACCTTTTGCACATTTCCATAGGAAAAGCTGCCTAGAATAAAGAAAACAAGCGCTAAAACTTTTGTTGCAGTTTTCTAGATTGCTGCTTCTTAAATTGTGGATTCTCTTAGCTCAATGTTAGCTCAATGTTAGGGTCCTGAACAAATTGGCAACAGTAAAAATTTTCTGGACCCTTAGCAGCTGCTTTAGACATTTACATGAATCTGTTCTGCAGTGTTTACAGTGGACTCTGATGAAGATGCTTCAGCTGTACTTCATAAAAAGGAAAATCAGCCTGTTTAGCAAGTCTTGCAAATGCTGATTTGTTATCAACAAATGTTTGAATTTTATGTACGTTTTATATCCCTTTATACCAGTGGTTCCCAACCTGTGGTTCGTGGACCACTAAAGTCGACCAAAAAGTGATTCGTAACGTTTTTGGTACTAATATTAGAGAGTGGTCCCTGTTCAAAGTGGTCCCTATTCAAGTGGTCCCTGGTTTAAAAAAAAAAGGTTGTGAACCACTACTATACCCAGGGTCACATAAATATCTGCGAGCAGACACTCTGCTCTAGACTATATTATTCAGCGATTAAATCATGGGGACTGAAGAGATCCCATTCAATTAATATACCTCCTTAGTCTGAAGGCCAGTGTAACGTAGTGGTTCATACATTGAACTACAACTCTGGAGACCAGTGTTCAATTCCCCACTCAGCCAACAAAACCTACTGAGTGCTCTTCAGTGAATCACATACTCTCTCAGAAAACCCCATGATAGGGGCGCCTTAGAGCCAACCATAAGATGGAAACAACAAAACTTAATCAAGCTGGAAGAAATAATTGGACTTCACTCAGAATCTACACAGACAATAATACAGATTAGAATTATCCAAACTTTTCATTCTCTTCCCCTTCCCCCAGCCCCATCATAATTAGAGTAACTAACTAGTGATGCTGGAATCTCCGGTGGCACTGCAAGTTAAACTGCTGAGCTGCTGAACTTACTGACCGAAAGGTCAGTGGTTCGAATCCAGGGAGCGGAGTGAGCTCCTGCTGTTAGGCCCAGCTTCTGCCAACCTAGCAGTTTGAAAACATGCAAATATGAGTAGATCAATAAGTAACACTTCTGCGAGAAGGTAATGGCACTCCATGTAGTCAAGCTGGCCACATGACCTTTGAAGTGTCTACGGACAACACTGGCTCTTTGGCTTAGAAATTGAGAGCTCCATCTCCAGAGTCAGACATGACTAGACTTAATGTCGAGGGGGAAACCTTTACCTTTACCTTTAACTAGTGATGCTCATCTTGCCACATTAAGGCTCCAAAAGGATTGCAGAGTATGGCTAGATTGCAGCTCTCAACATTCCTCATTGCCAAGTACAATGACCAAAGCTGATGGAGGTTTCATTCCAACAACATCAGGTTGGCAGCACTCTACCCACCCCTGCTGTCTCCACTAACTAGAAGAAAATGCCACTGTAGTTGTTGGGGCTTACTTCTGAATCAATACGCATTGGATTATTTTACTTGTATTTCTTCTGCCACTATTGTCACCATCTTTGTGTAAGTGGTTCTCTTTCAAGCTCCCTAAAACTTTAGTTTAGAAGACACATTTATGCCAGTGCACCGCAAAGTATGTGACCCTTCAAATGTTGTTGGCGTCTGCGTCCCATTAACTCCAACAAGCCTTTCCGATGGTGAGAAATGCTGGAATATGCAGTTCAGCAATATCTCTAGTGCCACAAACTTCAGAATGCTGATTTATGCAAACATATGGTGAATATACACAGTCTGTTTTCCCCAGTCTGTTGAACACTTACCTTTGGGCTATAAAATCTGCCATGAGTGTTCTGAGCAAAGTGTTATCTATTGGTCTCAGTTCAGTTCTTTCAATCACAAATTAATGTATTGTCGAAGGCTTTCATGGCCGGAATCACTGGGTTGTTGTAGGATTTTCGGGTTGTATGGCCATGTTCTAGAAGCATTCTCTCCTGGTATTTCGCCTGCATCTGTGGCAGGCATCCTCAGAGGTTGTGAGGTGCCTCTGAGAATGCTTGCCACAGATGCAGGCAAAATGTCAGGAGAGAATGCTTCTAGAACATGGCCATGGAACCCGAAAAACCTACAACAACCTAATCACAAGTTACTTTTGCAGCTAGAAGTAATATTTGTGTACATTTTAAGAATAAATAATCAGATATTGGTAGAATTTCAAGCAATACAGAAAGAAAATACCCACTAGGTTGGTGGCTATGGGGCTATTTCAACTGGCGGAAAGTACCAAGAGATTATATGACATTTCCAGGGCTTTTTTTTCTTTTGATTGGACCTTCATGTCACTG